TTAATTTTGCACAACAGCAAGATAAACAAGAAAATCTAAATTATTGTAAATACAAATAATTGAATTTGTAGAAAGAAAACATATATCCTCCAAATCATTATTTTTATATATATTACATATATATTTATTATTATAATATTATATCAAAAAAAGTTTATTCAAAAGTTTTCCAAATTCTAAATTTCTTTAAAAGATATTTGGATACTTATAAAATGGTTTATAAAATCAAATCATCTTTTTCATATTTACAATTACATCATTTTACAAAATTTAATTATATTAAAACATTTTATTCAGATTTTTTAAACTACTTTAAATTACTTATTAATTTTTTAATTTTTCTTGAAAAAATATTTTGAATGTTACAAAATTTTTAATCCATCTAAAAAAAAAAAAAAAGAAAAAAGAAAAAATAGTAAACAATGAAAATAAGAAAATTAATTTCATTAAGAAAACAATTTTAATTTACCTCGAAAGTGCATCACGTCGATGTCTCGATCATTCCTCGTGTATCGCAGTCCATGTGTCCAAACAATGTATATTCCCTTCAAATAACAAAGATCGGAGCAAACAATTCTCTTCTTTTACGACGAAATCGGATATGAGAAGAATGATAAGAAGGATAATAATCGTACGATAAAGTGGCGATGTGTAGGCCGGTTGTCGGAAGAAGATGTACGAATAAAAAGCAAAAAATCATAGACCGACGCGACCGTATGCCGTTGACGGGCAAACAGCGACTAACCGAAGTGAACTCTGTCGCAGTGTGAGCACAGGTTGCGTTCGCGGGTCGATCGAACACTTTTCTGCACCTCTCCTCGGCAGCGGCGTCAAAGCCAACCTCGACGGCCGCAACGCATTGGTGCACCTGCAACATCAGTTATCGTTTTTGACTCGTCCATGATATGCAGTGATTGCAGTCAACAATTTTTCTTGCGAATACTATTCTAAAGTACTATTCTAACAATTAATTATTTGAAAGTGTGAATAAAAATGTCGTGTACAGCGTTCGCAATAGTTTGGAATCTTATCATGTTATCTGGGGAATTCAAAAAATTATATCGAAAATTGAAATAAAAAATTTTATCTTAAAATTTAAATATTTTGCAAAATGCCATTTTAATATTCTTATTAATTATTTATTTTTGAAAAAAATAATAGAAGAATTTCCGAATCGTATAATGATTTGATATCTATAATTTATCTTTTCATCATATATATATATTAATCAAATATTTCTATATTTATGAAAAGATAAGATATTTTTTCTCTTAAAAATACTATTTTCAAATGTTTAAAAAAAAATGTTTAAAAAAAAAATTATTATAAGCTTTCTGCAATCTGATAATAACAACTAGCCTAAGGAAATCTAAAAGGTTTATAAGGTTGAACGATAAAGAATATCCGGAAGCTAGTTACTTAAACAAAGAGTCTCAAAGATTCAAACAACAAAGAAAGGAAAAAAATTTCGAAGAACGAGAAAAAAAGAATGCGTTAATATTGACGCAATTTGAAAAGAAAGAATACTAATAATAAAATACTAATAAAAGCAAAAGAAATTATCAATTTTTAATCTAAGTACAATTTTTTATTAAAGTTATTATATATACATATACTTATTTTTATTACACTAAAATAAATTAAAATTTCAATTTTTTTTCTTTTATTTCTTCAATTTATTTTCTAGTAATTAAATATTTTTGCCACATAAAATCTTTAAGTACCACATCTGAGAATCCACATGCAGTCTCAGAATCATAATTTATCCTCATTACTTTAATTAAATACTCATTATTATTTCAAAGATATTTAAAACTCTTGAAAAAGAAATTTGGAGTATAAGATTTTTATCCATTAAAGTAGGAATCAAATGAGTGTCAAAAAGAACAAACGTTACGTTTTTTTAATATTTATCATATTATATTCTAAGCATAGAAATAATTACAGGAGTGACATCTATATTTTATAATATAATATATTTTATAATATAATGCTATGACGGTATTAAAAAGATAGATTTAACATCCGTTTTTGACGCTTTTTGATGTACGACTTCGACTTAAAATTTCTA